ACACACACACACACACACACACACACCCTGCAGCCCCCTGCATGTGCACACATCTTTCTCGTAGCCTGGGGAGGGCGAAACGGCCTCCCCCAACCTTCTGGAGGCCCTCCGAAGGCCGGAGACAGCCCCCTTTCCGACTTCTGGTGGGCCCAATAGGTCCGTTTTTCACCCTCCCCAGGCACCAGAGGCTTCCCTAAAGCCTCCGGAGGGTGAAAAACAGCCCAATGCGCAAACCGGAAGTCTGTTCCCGAAGCCTCCAGAGGGCGGAAAATAGGCGAAAATCAAGGCCGAAAATCAGCTGGCCAGCACGTGCATGCACATTGGAGCTGACAGGGCAATGCCTCGCGTGCCCTCAGAAATGGCTCCGCGTGCCACCTGTTCGCCATCACAGTCCTATACCATTTCAGACGAATATTTGTCCAATCTCTTCTAAAAAACCTCCAGTATTGGAGCACCCACAGCTTCTGGAGACAAGTCTTTCCACTGATTAATTGTTCTCACTGACAGGGAAATTTCTCCTTAGTTCTAGGTTGATTGTCTCCCTGATTAATTTCCATCCATTGCTTCTTGTCCTGCCTTCAGGTGCTTTTGAAATTTGCAGATATGTTCCTGCAGAATTCCAGGAGTTCAGTTATCTGGCCAAAGAGTTTTTATTTTAAAAACAATTCCCCAAGAAATGCTGACACGCTTAGCAAAGCAAAGTTATCTAGGAAGCTTCGAAAGAATATTAATGAAGCAAAGTTTACTGCAAAAGGCTCAAGGAAAATAACGGGCTACAGCAAATTGTCACACCCTGATCCCGGATTACAAAATATGTTAGGAAGAAAATGTAGAACCAGAGATGAAAATTTCACTGTTTCTTTAAAAAAAAAATCAAAAATTTTAACTGCCTTCTAGGTAGGACAGAAAGTGCTTCATTTTTTTTAAAAAATACATTATTTTACACGGTGAACAATTTGTGGGTTAGTTTCCTGTTCTTATGGTCAAGTTCAGCCAAACATTTTTTTAAAAAATTATTTACAATTTTTCTCAAGGTACACAATTTGGGCAAATAATTAGCAGCATGGTGATTAATTTTATTTATTATTTTCATGAATATTAACAATTTAGCCGTGCTCTTTTTCACGTCAAAATGTGTACATGTTCTTGGAGATTCACCGGGAGATTTAGAGAATACATATTTTAAATGAGAACTGGGAAGACGATCTTCTTGGCTTGATCTAAACATGCTAAATTAAATAAGTTTGAATTCAAAAGCGAGTTTGAATTTTCTCCCTCTCTCTAATTTGGGAGGGTGTAAATTATCCGCTGTGGGAGTTGTGCCTTGTTTTTAAAAACCTGGTTTTAAATCTCTTCATATTTTAAGCCAAATTTGTGATGGTAAATTAAAGCTGTCCTATCTCTTTCTCTCTCTCTCTCTGCCCTTCATCGTCGGAATAACCACTTCAGCTGAACTTCACCAACAAAATAGGGAAGAATTTGAATCTTAGCAGCACTCTGGACAGGATTGACAATTTGCAGAGTTCCTAGGTGGCGCAGTGGTTAGGGTGCAGTACTGCAGGCCACTTCAGCTGACTGTTATCTGCAGTTCAGCGGTTCTAATCTCACTGGCTCAAGGTTGACTCAGCCTTCCATTCTTCCGAAGTGGGTGAAATGAGGACCCAGTCTGTGGGGGCGATATGCTACTCTGTAAACCATTTGAAGTGGTATATAAGTCTAACTGCTATTGCTATTGCTAACTGGCATTA